GATGTATGATGACGCAGAGTGGATTGCCTAGATCCTTTTGGGTCGAGGCGTTGGTTTATGCGAGCCATCTCGTGAATAGGTTGGCATGCACTGCGATAGACGGGAAGACTCCTTTAGAGCGTTGGTTTGGTTCAGTGGCTAGTAACTATGAGTCGTTTCGGATATTTGGGTGTTCAGCTTATTATCATGTTAGTGATGGTAAATTAAATCCGAGGGCGAGGAAACCAGTCTTTGTGAGATTTAGAGATGGAGTTAAAGGCTTCAAGTTATGGGATCCACAGGATAAGAATATAGTTATTAGCAGAGATGTCACATTCGATGAGGCGTACATGATGAGGCCTCGAGTCCCTCAGCAGGTGGAGGATGATGTGACTCCACCCACTCCAGAGAGCATTGTATCCATCGAGGCTCCTACAGAGGTGACACTAGGAGAAGATGAGATGACAGCCGGATAGATAGAGGATACAGTGGATTATGGGACTCAGGAACATGGTTATGTTCAGGGGTCCATTATAGCAGATAGACCGAGGAGAGTAATTCGTTGGCTAGCTAGGTATAATGATGTCATGGTCGCATATGCATTATTAGTGGAGGTCGTTGATGATATAGTTCCATCCACATTCAGGGAGGTAGAGTCTAGCCCCGATTCGATCAGGTGGAGGAAAGCTATGGAGGAGGAGATGCAGTCTCTTCAGAAGAATGACACTTGGACACTTGCACATCTACCTAAGGGTAAGAGAGCTATAGGTTGCAAGTGGGTATATGCGAAGAAGGAGGGATCTTCTATTAGGAACATTCGATTCAAAGCCAAATTGGTTGACAAGGGGTATGCACAGCTTGAGGGCATTGATTACAATGAGGTATTTTCACCCATTGTGAAGCATTCGTCGATACAGATTTTATTGGCATTAGTGGCACAGTTAGATTTGGATTTAGTCCAGATGGATGTGAAGAAAGTCTTTCTACACGGAGATTTAGATGAGGAGATTTACATGACACAACCCTTGGGATTCAAAGCTGCAGGAAAGAAAGATTTGGTTTGCAAGCTGAAGAAGTCTCTTTATGGTTTGAAGCAATCGCCGAGACAGTGGTATAAGAGATTCGACAGTTTTATGATTGGCCATGGGTATACGAGGAGCCCATATGACCCATGTGTTTATATGCACAAGCTACAGGATAGTGAGCACATATATTTGCTTTTATATGTTGACAATATGCTTATTGCTTCCAGGAATTCTTCGGCTATTCGAAAGCTGAAAGAGGAGTTGTCATCCGAGTTTGAGATGAAGGATCTTGGAGAGGTAAAGAAGATATTGGGTATGGAGATCAAGAGAGATAGGGTGAAGGAGAGTTTGAAGCTTACACAGAAGAGCTATTTGTAGAAGATGTTAAAGAAATTCAGCTTTAATGGAAATGCAAAAGCAGTTACACTCCATTGGCTCCCCACTTCAAACTTTCAGCGTTGATGTCACATGTTTCAGTTGAGGACAGAGATTACATGTCGAATGTCCCATATGTCAGTGCAGTAGGTAGCTTGATGTATGCGATGGTGTGTACGAGGCCAGATTTGTCACAGGTCGTGAGCATGGTATCGAGATACATGCACGACCCCGGGAAGGGTCATTGAGAGGACGTGAATTGAATTCTACGGTATGTTCGAGGCACCGTGGATGTTGGTTTGGTATTCCAGAAGGATGAAAAGAATGGACAGGATTGTATTGGTTTCGTGGATTCAGATTATGCTGGAGATCTTGACAAACACCGGTTCACTTCAGGTTATGCTTTTACATTGGCAGGTGCACCTGTCTGTTGGCGATGTACACTTCAGTTCACAGTGGCTCTCTCTACTACAGAGGCAGAGTATATGGAAGTGACTGAAGCTGTGAAGGAGACTTTGTGGTTGCGTGGATTATTGGAGGACTTGGGGATTACACAGGAGACCATTCGAGTATATTGTGATAGCATGTCAGCTATCTATTTGGCGAATAACCAGGTTTATCATGCGCGCACGAAGCACATCGATGTCAGATTCCACTTTGTTCGTGACGTTTTGGATGATGGAGACGTCATATTGGAGAAGGTCCACACAAACGATAACCCTGCAGATATGTTGACCAAAGTTGTTTCAGGAGTGAAATTTGGTCATTATTTGAAGCTTTTGAACATTCTTCAGTATTAAGGCCTTTGGAGACCATTTGCGTGAACTACGTTCGGCTTGATTCCTTAGGCAAAAGGATACGTAGGCAGTCTTTCAGATACAACCGGTTTGATCTGTTGATTCAGATTGGGGGAGATCACGTTTCAGCTCTAGTTTGGTTCCCGGACTTGTTGCGGAACTTTTGGATGATCTGGTGTCGGCTCAGTTTTTGGTAGAAACATTCGTCGATGTGGAGAATTAAAGAAGTGGCGAAAGAAGCAGCTGGAAGTTCAGGAGAATCGTCAAGGCAGACTGGCGGTCGACTGCGGCGGTCGACCGCGAACGTGCACAAAAGGGCAGTAAGATTCGAAGCTGAAGGCGGTCGACCGTGGTGGTCGACCGCGCGTACCCTGTAGGTGATTTTTGGTCTCGGGATGATAGCCGCGGTCGACCGTGAGTTTCCTGTAGCTGATTTGTTCTTTGTCGGGAGTGTTCGGTCGACCGCCGCGGTCGACCGCGATACCTGCGCGGTCGACCGTCGTGGTCGACCGCATACTATTTGGGTTGGGCTCTTGGTTTTTGACCCGGTTCGTTTCTGAGTTGATATATAACTCTAAACCTGATTAATTAGGGTTAATCAAGGACGATTTTGAGCAGTTTTTTAGAGAGTATGGCTGCATCCAATTGTGGGAGATTTATGAGAGATCTAGAGCTTTGTTTTAGGGTTTGATCGGTGAGATTTGTAACTCTATTTGTATTCTCTTGATTTCTAATAGTAAGAACTCCCTCCTTCTTGCCCCGTGGACGTAGCCAACTTGCAGAACCATGTTAAACTCGTTGTCTTGTTGTGGTATTGTGTTTAGCTTATTAGTTGTGATTTATCTTTTGGATTGTTCGTGTCGCTCCGAGAAGCTTCCGCCGCTCACAACATCTAGAATATGGGTCACATCACCCGGTAGCCATTTGACTCGTTTCTGATTTCATGGTGGCAAACAAACCAAAAAAAAAGTATTATAAAAAATGGTTTTCTACAGTACTCTTCTCTTCTTTTTTGAGCATTCAAACAGGCCCTTACCCTTCGGGCAAATAATATAATAATTTGGAGTTAGAGACAACCAATCCATCGTTAACCGCCCTTGAGCTACACTGAAAATACCATGAACAATTCACTCTTATCTTCTCATTTTATGTCAGAAATGTGCTGCTGCTTCTAGACTACTAGGATAAAAATAGGTAAAATAAGTTAAATTATCTGAAAAGGAAGAGAAAGGCTGCATATGCTGTCCTTTCCCACTTGTACTATGATATTCGTCCTTGCATCTAGCTATTCTACTAATAACTTTTTAATATTTATGTACTCACTCCATGTTCTCTCATGGATTCTCTCTCGGCACCGCAATCTTTGTCTTGCTTTCTTCTGAAACTTTATAGAGACTGATACGTTGGACCCGTCCAGTAACCTCACGTCCCTGACACTATTTGTCTAAAGCTTTTTAGAGGCCCAACTTTTGTAAGACATGAAAATTCAAGAGAAAAAAAAAAAGAGGGTACTATTTGCATTCTATTATGTTCCTTTTACTGCCATTTGGCAGAGGAAAAGATTATTTACATCCTTGAGAAATTTAGAGATTCTCAAGTGGCTTTTTAAGACCTTTGGGTAGTATTTGGTATGTAAGTATTCACTTTGAGAGTCTTATGATTCATCTCCCGGATTTGTGTTTGGTATGAACTGTTTGGGGGAAAACACACACAGTACAACATATTGACGGATATCTCGATCATAGACAACACAGAAATGCCTATGTTCTCGATTATCAACAAATGATCCTTTTACTGTTTCAGAGAAAAGGGCAAAAAGAGAAGAGAGGAGAAAAAGGTGAAATCGAAAGAAACTTTTTCAATAGTTGATCTCATGATTCTCTCGGTGTTAAATCTAGACCCTTATGTCACTAATGTTTTATAGAATCCAATAAGGATTAATGACAAATCCTAATTTATTTTCTAGAGTCAGTTTTCTCCCACCCAAAAAAAAAAATAAAGAAAATCAGCCTTCTAATTAACAGCTTAATTTCAAACAGAATAATCCACTCAGACGTCTGATCTGACCTCGACCTGAAGAACTGCAAAAGGAAAACAGCTGCTCTTAAAAACTAGCTCTTAGAAATTCTGTAGGATGTCCCATAGAAGTCTTCTCATACGTTTGTCGTCGCCCCTCTACAAGTGTAATCACAAGTCTCGAGTAATTCAAAACAACACCTAACGGGAACTAAATCAACATATTCAAGAATAATAGGTTCTTGCTGGCATCATATTATTATTATTATTATTAGGAAGTGATTCTTTTGCTGGACAAATTTTCAAAACCACCATCTTTAAGTTTTTATTTGCAAAAACCGACCCCTTTTGAAAATAATTACAAAAACCGACCTGTTTTCAGCCCAGCGCTGAAAACAGGTCGGTTTTTGTAAATAATTTTTCGAAACATCACGGGAGTTCAACTCCCGTGAAGTTTATCGAGAAATTAAACTTCACGGGAGTTGAACTCCTGTGAAGTTTAATTTCTGCTTAAAACTCCACGGGAGTTCAACTCCCGTGGAGTTACAATCAAAACTTCCCAGAGAGCCGATCTCTGGGAAATTGGGACTGCAACTTCACGGGAGTTCATATATACATGATTCAACCATGAATTAAACACACACGATTATGTATATGAACAATAATTTATCTTCAAAAGTTTAATATTTGAAAATTCAGGAAAGTTACAAATTTTAACAAAATAAGTTCAAATACAACCCAATATAGCTCCCCTCCTTCCTCTCCCTCTCTTCCCCCTCCCCCTCGCTCTTCCCCGCCCCCTGGGTTCCTACTGATGAGCCTCAACTATCTGAGTATCCGACTGTGTATGAAGCTGCGAAGTGTCGGCTCCATCGGCATGCAAAGTGCCGGCTCCATCGGCATGCGAAGTGCCGGCGTCATCATCACGTGGCCAACGACGTCGAGCGTACGCCCTTCCAAATGAGCGAGACCTGTCCTCACGACCTGCGAACTCGTCGACGCGAGTCTTATGAAACACCTGCACTATGCTCTTCTTGATCCTGCTGAGGAGCCCTAACGCCACCTGATCCTGAATCTCAGTCACGTGCGCATCAATATCAGCATCAATGCTATCTAAAACACGGACATGCGTGGTAAACAATTTATTAAGTATCAACTCAATAAAAAATATTATAATTTAGCTTAGAAACTTACATAATCTCTCTCGTTCATCCAATCATGTTTGCAAGCTGCTACAACATGTGAACAAGAAATCCATTGTAGTTGCGGTACATTGCAAGTGCACGTACAAGTGTGATCCACCAACATATTGACCTTGTAAGAGCGATTTTCTCTATGGGTTATTCCCTCGAGCACCTGCCATTCATTAAAACTGTATCGTACAACCTGAAAGGACCGAGCTTGTACAATCCGAGCCGCTAGCATTTCATCAACCTTCGGTGTTAGCTCTGAGCGGATATTTTCACCAAGTTCTCGACGTCGAAGAAAGAATTTATTAAGCATGTAAAAAGTTTTAGCAACTAGTGCCTGTATTGGCATGCCACGTGCTCCCCTGAGCACGCCATTGAAGCTCTCAGACGCTTTCATAGTCATCATACAGAACCGTCTGCCGTCATCCTCACATAAAGCCCACTTATCAACATTGTTTGGACCCAAACTAGTTTCTATCCAATCATGTGCAGCTCGTGAAATGAACTTGATCCTCTCTCGTATTTGTTCATTAACATATTTTTCTATTGCACAACCGGCTTGCCAAAGTAAGTCTTGAACCTGAGCATTTCCATACTTCTTCTTGAAGTTGTCTCTAATATGTCGCAAGCAATAACGATGTGCATGTGGTGGCGGGAAATGTCGTCGGAGTGCTCTTGGAATTCCTTTCATCCTATCGGATATGAATATAATCGGCCGCGTCCCCACACTAGGGATATGATATCTAATGCATGCAAAAAACCAAGCCCAATTCTCTATGTTTTCAACATCAACCACTGCGAATGCTAAAGGAAACAACCCGCCATCCGCGTCAACTCCGGTTGCAACAAGCAAAACGCCTTTGTATTTACCATATAAGTGAGTTCCATCAATGCTAAGAAGAGGACGGCAATATCGAAACCCCTCAATACAGGGCCCAAATGCCCAAAATACACTGGTGAACCGCCGTTCTCCGCCATCAACGAGGTCCGAAGATACTTCGTAGACAGTCCTCGGATTTTCTGTTTTGAGTGCTTCAAGATAATGAGGTAAGATCTCATACGAATTATCCCAATCCCCGAATATTTTTATCATCGCCTTCCTCCTAGCATTCCAACACTTGTGATATGATACATCCAAGTTGGTGGCTTTATGCACTAAAAGACGGATATCTTTCGGCCTTAGATCAAGATTCTCCCTCAGATGCGGTAAAATCAATCGATATATAAAAGAAGAGGACGCATTCTTGTTATTCATCTATAATCGAGGATTGTTTCAAGTGTGGAGTCCATTGTATGTCGTGATTTTGAATTGCCCACCTACTCTTGCACCCGAGCGTGAATTAAGCTTCCATGGACACCTCGCATTGCCGTCGTGGTGTCCACTATTATCTTCGACATCGTCATCTTTGTGATAGAAACAAACCATATTATAGCTTGTAGTATTATTTTTGGTTGGCCTGAACTTCACATTTTTTGCAATGGAATACGTGCGAATAGCATGGATCAATTTCTCCTTACTCTCATAAAGATCTCCTTTCATGAATGAGAAGTCCTCGGCCTGTGTATCAACACCGCTATTAATGCCAATAGGAACACTTTCCATCGCGGAGTTATCAATCCATTCATCTCCTTGAAGTTCATCGCGTGGCGGATCCTCTAAGCCGACATACTCATTATTAACATAACATCCGTCGATGTGTTGATTTTCCCCGTCATCACGATCTATCAAGGTCATGCTATTAATTTGTAATCCCTCCTCTTCATCATCATTCTCGGATTCAACACTTGCATTATCTTCTTGAATTCCCGTGTTAGTATCGAAAGCATGCGAAGTGCCCACGAACGAAGGACCGCTCATGTATTGTGATTGTGTCCAACATTCATCTTGTTGAGGAGATAAAAAGCCTACAGAATCAACTTCAGGATCTTCCAACATGCGGGAATACATTCCTTCGTAGTTCAACGATTTGCCCAAATCTCTCTGATGTTTTTCAATGAACAATTCGACCGAACGCTTCTCGTCGTGTAAGACATGAATGAGACCCATATCGTAGTCACTTGATATTTGAATGCCACTTGTTCTGTTCTCCACAACAGGATAATTGCAAACCACACTGAGGTGATACTCACGTGAGTTAGTTAATGTAAGTTTGTGTAATTCATTAACCAACTCATCGAAAGTACACGATTTTGTTATGAACAACGGTCTCGTCGTGCCTCCTTCATAAACGGGCATATTATTCTCGAGGTAATTAATCTTCCCATCATAAGAACAGAGAATTACAATTCGATCATTCATCGTTACCTCTGAAGAGTGAAAAATTCAATATCAATATTACACGAAAAGCCAAATAAATATTGATTGTTACTAATTTTTACATTTAGGTAGTAACTCTAATTTCCACATTAATTGATAATTTCACCTCTAAATACGCAAAATTATTTAATACGTCTTCACAAAATTCGTAAATAATTCACAATTAAATTCTAAAATCTAATTTATATCATACATATGCAAAAATCTAAAATCTAATTTTTCTTCACAAAATCTAAATAATTCACAATTAAATTCTAAACTCTAAATACAATAATTTTCGAAATTATTGATAATTTTTCCTCTAATTTCACAAAATTATTGATAATTTACACACTAATTCTTCACAAATATCACAAAATTATTGATAATTTTCCTTCTAATTTTCACATTTATTGATAATTTTCCCTTTAATTTTCACATTTATTGATAATTTCCAATCTAATTTTCACATTTCTTCACAAAATTCGTAAACAATTCACAATTAAATTCTAAAATCTAGATTTCTACATGTAATCACAATCAAATAGTGGGAGAATACAAAAATTAGAGGGTATAGCTTTTTTAGAAAGAATTTACCTTTTTTTTTTGAAAATCTGGAACGAAGGAGATTAGGGTTTCAGAACTGGGGTCGGGCTGGGGCACGTGCGGGTTTTATAGGGGAGCCAAAACTCCACGGGAGTTCAACTCCCGTGGAGTTATAGTCGAAAATTCCCAGAGAGCCGATCTCTGGGAAATGATGCCTGCAACTTCATGGGAGTTGAACTCCCGTGAAGTTGCAGTCCCAATTTCCCAGAGATCGGCTCTCTGGGAATTTTCGACTGTAACTCCACGGGAGTTAAACTCCCGTGGAGTTTTAAGCAGAAATTAAACTGCACGGGAGTTCAACTCCCGTGAAGTTTAATTTCTCGATAAACTTCACGGGAGTTGAACTCCCGTGATGTTTCGGAAAATTATTTACAAAAACCGACCTGTTTTCAGTGCAAATAAAAACTTAAAGAGGGTGGTTTTGAAAATTTGTCCTTCTTTTCCTTCCCTCTTCTTTATGGGAAATGACTTTCCATCATGGTAAGTAAATAATATCGAACATTCTGCATCTAGCATAAATTCCAGCAAGCTCGAAAATGCCAATTAATTTTCATGTTCGTGACATCGTAACAGCAGGATACTTCAACTGGATATGGCTTCTAGAGCGTCACCTCATTCGGGTTTAAAGCCCCAGCTGTGGCCAAAATAAGATGCAAAGTAAATTTCCTAGCGGTTTTCTTCATCTCGATCGCCATCCCTCACGACGTCTCTTAATTTCTTCCATCATGGGATTCGCAGGCGCGCGAGGAAAATGGTGCTGCTCGATCGTCTCCTACGAGCACTTGTAACCCTTTGTACTAGAAATTTTATGCATTGCTTACGCTAATCTGAGGGTCGACATTAACCTTATTGTTGTCTAACCCTCCTAATAAGACTTGTTTCATATCAGTATTGCATTTGCTCGAATGGAACAATATTCTTGACATTATTTGGTCAAATGACGGGTTTTTTCTGCTTGTGCATAGGCTGTGAGTACGTTCTTGTTGCCCTAGGGGACTTGACAGTGTGCATAATATTAAGATGAATAATTAGACGCATACCCTGATGTTTATCGTAATCAATTTGGCCGACGTTGTAGGACTCAGCTTCACTCCTATCCTTTCGTAGTCCTAAACATCACAAACCGCAGAACTACACTATATCCTGTCACTTCTTCGTTTCAATGTCTTGCTACACGAAGCAAACATTACTTGTGTAAGTATTAATTTACCGCAAAGGTTCTTAAGCCAACAACCCGAAGTTTTCATGCTTAACAAACCACTGAACTCACAGATATTCCATTATTTTTCCATTGTTTCATATCAGTCATATTACATCAAACAAGCTATCGAACATACGAGGAGAATGGGATTGCCTGAGCTACAATGTCAAAAGTACCGGGAAGTTGAGGTTTAAGGTCACGTGCACTTCAATCTACACATCTATATATGGGAGCTTAGTCAGAGCAGTGGCTAATACAGAAAAATACTTTCTTAGAAGTGTAGATGTCAAGAATCCGTATAACCAAAAATAAAATATAACATTATAAAACAACATTTTTGACATTGTGCTAAATTCACAAATTAAACGGGCTAAAACTCAAACGATTATATAATCAAGGGTTTCGGTGCAAATACAGGTAAATTGCGAGTGGCAAATTGCAAGTTTTACAAGGCTTTAACATATAATTTTGTCATATTCATAGGGCTGCAATTTCCCTCCTATGTTTATATGTGCGTCGGCCCCTAAGTGAAAGCACGGACATTCAACGTAGACAGCAAAGCAAGCTTCGACATCCCGTAAAAGAAATGCAAGCTCAAGCCAATTCAGAGGATAAGATGTCGACTTGGAGCTTGGTTACTAAGATGTGATGGAGAATGAATCTTCTTAATTTTAAAGATATCTAAAAAAAATTTCTTCCAATTATTCCAATCAATTTTTACAAACATCTGAGTCACGCTCCTTGTTTATATATATATATATATATATATATATGTGTGTGTGTGTGTGTGTGTGTTTTTGTTTGTTTTGGTTATCTAATTTGTTCATTTTGAACGCAAATAATGTTTATTTATCATATCCTTCATTTAATTCGTGTTTGATTTCCTTGATTCCTTCTTTCATTATGCATAAACAACTATTAGGACGCTTACAAATATAGAGTCACTGACCAGATTAGACTAAATTTTCTTGATTAATTTGATCAAAACGAGCATAGAAATCAAATTAGCTATGTTGAAAGCAGTCAGACTATTTTCGTTATATTAATCAATCTGATTTACTCGTAGCAGACCCTTACTTGAACCTTGGTTGTTTCATACTTGTACTATTATACAATAATTTTAGCCCAAGAGACAACCCTCAATTGGTTCTGGTTCGCCTGAATCTCCAGACCGTGAATCAAGCTAATTCCCAATTTCTAAATAATTTCATAACTGATAACTGTATATTAAAAGGAATATGCTAGATATAATTATAAGCTTTAGTTTTTGATATAGTCGGTTGATATCAGTGATATTTTGATAGTATTCAATGTTTTCTAAAAGACCATGACAGCCTGCTAATGCAAAAGATCAAAAGTATCTGGACTCATGATAACAACATTTCACCGTCTTCTCAAAAAAAGATGAACAAGCGCACAAAAAGAGAAATGAAATATCTAGTATGCACCATAAATAAGCTGGACAGAAAACAGGCAGGTACAATGATAATAACATTTCTAGTTGTTTTCAAATAATAAAAACAAAAACGAAAGATCTAATATGTATAATAAATAGGTTGGACTAAAAAGAACAGGCAGGTATAACAATAATAGCATTTCATGGTTTTTTAAGGAAAAGATGAGCAACCACATATGAGAGTTAATAGGGAATACCATCAACTGCCTCACCTTCAGCTTCTGCTTGTATTAGGAGGGAAATCCAACTACTCTTGCATCTAGACTCTTAACCTCCAGCTCCTGCATTTAGGTCAAACCTATATCTCCATAAAAAGCAAATCACTTCTGGTGTGGTACAATGAAAGATTTTGAACTTCAACTTTCCAATTACACATAATTAAGAGCTTACAAATAGCTATATACTTGACGAGAGAAAAAAAAAATGAAAAAAAGGGAACGCCCTCAGGACAACATGCTGAAAAGTTTTGCATATAGCCCCACTGCATTACTTTGATAAGATACATACGTCTACATGAGCAAAATTGATACTGATACAATCTTCTCTAGGTAAATAGAAAGGAAGAAAAAAGCCACGAGAATGAAATTGATGAAATAACTCATAGTAAAATGAAATCTGCCAAAATGGAAATGCAAAAAAGGAAAATGACATTTCAATATAATAAATAAATAATAGCATCTACAGAACCATTCAATTATCTTCCCAAATTTCGCCATCTTGCATATAGTTACGTAAGGTAAAGCGTCATAAATATAACAGTTGATATAGGCAATAATATTTTATTGTTCCACACAAACAATCACTTGTGTTTGGTAATCAATGTGTTTTATTGTTATGTTTTTGTAAAAAACACCATGCCATGGTGTTTCTTTTTCAAATGTGTTTTGAAAACACCATTTTGGTCAAACTATTTGAGCATTTAATATAGCGGGCAATAGGCTTGTGGCGGCAGCAAAGGTCGGGTAACAGGGTGGCGGCGACCGACCGTGGGCAAAAGACAACGACTGTCGCTACCGCGGTAGCGCGGACGTGTTGGCGGCCGTCGATGGAGCGGCGGGGGCCGAACGGGTGGCGCACGGCGGTGGCGACGGCGGCAGGCCGGCGGGTGGGCCGGACCGGAGGCGAGCGGCAAGTGGGGCGGCGGTGAAGGGGGGTTGCGGCCGCTGACGAGCGCTGCCGGAGCCAGGAAGGGCGCCCGTGCGCTGGGGGTGGAGGGTGGGCGGGACGGCGAGCGAGCAGCAGCGGCGAGGTGCAAGCGACGGCCGACGGACGGTACATGCGGTTGCCTGCGGGTGCGACGGGTCGCGAGGGCGGCGAGACGGCGTGGCGGACTATGACGACGGCGGGGTGGCAGTGGGTCCACAGGCGCGAGCGGGGTTGCAGCGAGTTAGATAGAAAACAAAATCTTAAAACACTTTTTTGGTGTTTTGAGAAAAGTGTTTAATTTTTAGATTTTGTAAAGGAACAAGTCAAAAAAACGCCCCGGTTGCCAAACGCGTTTCTTTGTTTTTGTTGAAAAAAAATAGAAATGGTAAAAACGCCATAGTTGTCAAACGCTCCCTAAATTATAGAGAGAAAATCTAGGTAAATTTTGAAAGGATAGGAACACCACTACATACATATATATCACTAATTTTACGATTACCTTAACTAATATAATATCCAAATATGGCTCCCCCCCCCCC